GCATCCCTCCGACGCAAGCGACGAGGTGCTTTCTCCTGCCGACGGACAAACAAAAGACAGGTCCCACGGCCAGCGCGAATTGCTGCTCCCCAAAACATTGCAGCAAACGAGCCCGACAGATGAGCGACGCCAATCCGTAACGTCGCGACCGCCCGTCTCCTTCAAAGCCCCCTCCAACAGTACTTCCACCACTTCCGTTCGCGTCGCTCCCATCCGCTCCTTTCGATCATCAGGGTCTCGTCGGAGTCTGGGACTCGACAGCAGCACTTCCACCATGCGCTCCTTCGACTTTGGCGACGAATTCGCCGACTCGAACCAACGCGACCGAACTTTGCGCGCCCTCGAGGGCAGAATCGACGATGACTTCCGCAGAATGACACCACCGCACTCAGCTAGCCAGGCCGATGCCGACGACACGACCGGTGACGTCTTTATGAAAATCGCGAGACAGGAGCCAACACGTCGCGGCTCGGGTGATGTTGCGCCAGCCGAAGAGTCAAGTGCCATAGTAAGTTTTAGTCCTCTCCATGTCTGCGTTGTTGTTTCGGGATTCCCTTTAGCGCCAGTCGGACGCCCGTGCCCTCTGATGGACATGTCTGTTCGCCGTGTTATCAACCCGTCTCTCCATATTTTTGGTTGATCATCCCGCTCTTGCTACCTTTGCCCGCTTTGCCAAAGCCTACCCCATCTGAATCGCCTAGTCACCGTCGTTAGCGCGACTTCATTTCACTCAGGTTCCGGCGACGCTCGCCGTGGCGTTCTGCGTGCGAGCATAGAGTTTTACCATGGACAACCGTGACCTGACTGACAATGACAAACAGGCCCGTGTCACTAGGTTCTCCCATCGCCGGCCACTCTCGGCAGCCGTCCCATTGTCTTATCACCCAACCTCTCCGCCTCAAATCAGCCGTCGTCTCTCTGACCAGCAAGAGACATCAAAGAAGCGCGCACGACAGCAGTCAGAAGACGAGAGCGCCGCAGAACCCATGGCTCGCGCGCTGGCGTACCGCCCCGGATTGACTCGAGACCGTCCCTCATCAGTGCACCCGGCCGAGGACTTGGGTCGCTCCAAGACCTTCCACTCTGCCACGCGCTCAACCGTCTCCGCCGCCAACACACCTCGCTCATTCACCTTCCAGGGCGTGGACACACCGGAATCATCACCGTACTCGCCCTCACAATACGCGCGCAGGCGGCCTTCCTTGACCGACAGCAACGCAGGATATGCTGCTCGTAGCTCCGCATACAGGCAGTCCAACTTGTCCTTTGGCCAGGCACGCACGTACAACTCATCGCCATTAGTGCCGAAGATGGAGACACCGCGTACGGAAACCCACCAGCAAGAGGCCGCAAACGGAGTGGAGGGAACCGAGTCGACGGCGACCGCATCCACAACCGCACCTTCGACAGTATGGGATGAGCTGGACGACCTCAAGTCGAGAATTCACCGGTTGGAATTGACGGGCAAATTGCCCAAGACTTCAGGTGCCGCGATGTCGCGTGCTTCCGACGAGCGACCCCCCACCGCTACCAACACTACGATGTCCACGTCGCCCAAGCGAACGTCCGGCAGCAACCACCCCAAGTCGGACGCTATTAGCATTACATCATCGCAGCGCGAGGCTCACCAGCCGATTTTGCTCTCCGCTGTGAACAAGTCGAAGCCATTCCTCAGTGATGAGGTAGCGCGAGCGCTCGAAACGGCTGCCACTGAAGCACTGGCGCTCGCCAATATGATGGGTACGGCAGGCCAGCCTGGACCTATTTCCAGTGGAGCCAGCACGATCGGCGTGGGTACCAACTTGACGGATCGCCAACTGCGACGCAAGGCGGATAGTATCTGCCGGAGTTTGACGGAGCTCGTCCTGGCCTTGAGCGAGGAAAGCGCGCGTGAGAAGACCCTCCAACTGACGGTACCGACACCCAAGGAGACGACGACTCCTTCTACACCAACTATTGATAAATCGTTCACGGGGGGAACCGGATCTTCTGCGGCGTCAGGAGCGACTGCCCAACAACGTCCAACCGTACCAGAGCAGCAGACCTTGCCGAAACCCAGTGCGGTCATCACCAGTCCTAGGGCATTATCCAAGTACGAGGAAAGACGCAACACAATGCTCAACACCAGTGCTCTTCAGAGCCCAAGGTTTGCCCTGCCGCCTGGCACTATTCCCTCCACGCCGGGAGAGAAGACCGCGCACCGCAAATCGTCCTTATTCATTGGCCGAGCTCGTCGGGGCGCGTCAGAGGAACCCGAAGATGGACGACGGTCTTCGCTGCTGCTGAGGACGAGACGCGCCGGCACCGAAGAGCCCGAGGACTCGCGTGCGCTTGTCCGCCAAGAACCTCGCCAGGAAAGCGGCCGCCAGACGTCGCTTCTCCGTACACGTCGAGGGACGATTGGCGAGAACCATGATGACGATGAATCGCCACGCTTCCGCGCCCCGTCACGGGCAAACACCGAACTCCAAACACCCGGCCGATCCGTATCCCACACCTACCACCCCAACACGGCAGCAAACGAAGTGTCGTCGCCTGCCTCCTCCGCTCTCCCCCGCCGGCGTTTCGGCGCATCCGCCATCACCTCCCGCCTGGTCGCACCCTCTACGCCATCTCTCGCCACACGTCGCTATCTGGAGAGAACTCCAGAACGGGAAGTCCCTAGCTCAGCTGAGAAGCCTGAAGAGCGCGCACAGCCGACTATCCCGCAACCGCGTCATTTTTCACTCAGCCACACGTCCTTGTTGAACAGGGCAAGCAGCATCAACCGCAGAACCAACCGCGACAGCACGATTACGAATACATCGACTGCTGCTCAGGCGGGCAGCTATCGATAACGCTTGACGAATGACACCCACATGGATGGATGAATGTACCATTAGATCTTTTTGTTTTAAGCTGGCGTCAGTCTTGTTTGGCATAGGTTATACCGCATGGGCTCGGCAATCGTCACTTTGTACTTGTATGACAACCACGACAGACGGCCGGTTGATTGTTGTTGGACTTGCCGACTTCTTGGGAAGGTCGGAGCATTTGTATATCGAGCAACCCATACGGGAAACAAAACGTTATGGATGGGAGCCTCAAGGCTCCAGCATTGGTCAAAAACAGTCTCTTGATTTGTGACTCTGGCTGGCGTTTTGACCTAGGCAGACGTTGATCTCATTCTGAGTCAGGTGTTTTGGGAAGGGGTAGAGCAGCTAAAAGTTAATGTATGTCTTGTTATTCTTCCAGCAATGTTGAGTCGTGAGGCTCGGATATGCTTGTCAATTGAGTTCTGTTAACCGCGACGAGCCGCTGTCAGTTGCATTGTGAGGTACATGTCAGATGCGCTTTGTCTCCAGATTTCAAGATCTCAACTTGGATCCGTGCGACGAAGGGAAACGAATAATTAGTCTTTTTATTCTCCGAACTCGCGTTGGTTGGTTGTCGTTTGATAGGTTTGAGTCACGGGCGACGGGTGAGGCTTGAAGTGAGCCAGGCAGGAGGGTTGAGCCAGTCAGTGTCAGTCACTGCCCGATGAGTTTTTTCAGCGGGCCTCTGAACCGCACCCCTCCTCTTCCGACTTCATCTCAACCTCACACCCCGGACTTGCATTATATCTGCGTAAATCTCCATGAAAAGTCTGGTCTCGAATTTTCTCAAGAAGACCAATCCGTTGTCATTGAGACGTACCACAGCAGCGCCCCGAGTTTTCTTTTCTGAGCATTTCGCCACCAAAACAAGGCGGCGGCGGGAGACTACAAGGACGTTTGTGCCTGCTCACACTCACCAACGAATTACACCCAAACCAACAACCGCTTCACCAAGGCAAGGGCTTGGAAACATGGCTGACGGATTCGACGAGACGGCCGCGGCCGCGGTTGAAGACAAGGCACAGCAGGGCCGTAGGGGAGGACGTAAGGGCGGCCGTGGAGGAGGAGGCGGCGGCGGCGGACAGAACAGAGAGGTCCTCGTGTCCAAGGCTCTTTCGAAGCTCCTGCGGCACCAGGCGGAGAACGCGGGTATCAAGCTCGAGGAGGGCGGCTGGGCTCCCTTGGACAAGGTGGTGAGTGCATTTTGACGGAGGCAGGTGAAAATTCAGGGAGACGCTGACGCAGGGTGCATGAAGCTTGCCTACGGCCCCGTCAAGTCTTTAAAGGTCACGTTCGAGGACATCAAGGCGGCGGTCTCGACGTCGGACAAGCAGCGTTTCGCGCTCAAGCCGAACGAGGCGACGAACCCCGCGCTGGACGAGGGCTCGACGGACCCGGCGCACTGGCTCATCCGCGCGAACCAGGGGCACAGCATCAAGCTCGACTCGGCGGCGCTGCTGACGCCTATCACGGCGGAGAGCGGCAACGTGCCTGAGGTGGTTGTGCACGGGACGTACTTTGCGTTCTGGCGGCAGATTGAGGAGTCGGGCGGGCTGCGGCGGATGGGGCGGAACCACGTGCACTTCGCGACGGGCCTGCCGACGGACGAGAAGGGGGTGGTGTCCGGGATGAGGCGGGACGCGGAGGTGCTTGTGTATGTGGATGTGGAGGCGGCGCTGGCGGAGGGGATGAAGTGGTGGGTGAGCGAGAACGGGGTCGTGTTGACGGAGGGGGACGAGGAGGGGTTTGTGCCGTGCAGGTTGTTCAAGGAGGTTAGGGGAAGGGATGAGGCGGTTGTTGGGACGTTGTGGAGGGATGGGGAGAGGGTTGCGGGGTTGCCTGAAGGGTTGAAGATGAGGGCGCCGCCGGGGAAGGGGGGTAGGGGCGGACGGGGAGGGAGGGGACGGGGAGGGAGGTCGTGATGCGGTTGATGATGAATGGGTTATGAGAAGATGAAAGATGTGCTAGACTGCGAGGGCTCACTCTGCGAGAACAAAACGTTGACAGCAGGCATATCAATGATGGCATTTCATCGTTGCGTTTGAGGCATGTTGCTCCTTGATTGGTGATTCAACTCGTTGTGATATCCTGATAAACTCCTAGAGTATATAATAACTTCTCCTCCCTCAGTGTGAGCTCCTCCACCTACTCCCCGAGCATAGTCTTCCTCTTACGCTCCCTCTGGTCTTGCTTGGCCAACATCCACTCCAGAATCCCCTGCGCCATCTTCTCCCTCGCGGCTCTCTTGGTGTAGATCTTGCTCACGGAGCCCAGGTCTTCGGGGATGAGCGGGTTGTTGTCAAACTCGGCCCTGCCGTTCCAGAAATCGCTCAGCTCGGGGTCTTCCGTCAGAATGTAGCGGGGGACCGGCAGGTTGAGACGCGAGGCGAGCTTCTCTACCTGCTTCGTCAGTGGGAGCTCAGAGATGGGCGCGCCGGCGGGCGTGCCGGGCGCAGAGGACGAAGCGGAGCTCGGGTTGGATTTCACAGCGGCGGCGGTTGTGGGGGAGGACGGCTTGGGAGGGGATGTGGTACGGGGCGCTTTTTGTTTTGGAGCCGGCGACTTGTTTGGTTTGGGTGATGGGGAGGATCGCGACGGGAGAGGTTCCTGCTTCACGCGCGGGATGTCCGTGATGGAAATCGGGGGTGAGCTCGACGGGGCCCTCTTTGCCGGGACGGACGCGGTGGCCGGCGCGGGGACGTGAAGGACGGCGGGAGCTGGCGGGAGAGACGTCCGAGGGGCGGCGGCGGGTCCGAACGGTGCAGGAAACTTGGGCAGCTCGCCGCTGGGGAGCATCTGGCCGTTACTGATGAGCCATTCGCAGGCGCACTTTGCCGCGAACTGTTTCGCGTCCTGCTTGCGCGTGAAGTCTGGGCTCTTGGCGTTGGGCGTGGTCGGGTCTATGCCGTGGCCTGGACGGGGGAACTTGTCGTTCGTGGCGTCGAAGGAGACGAAGCAGGCCCAGCGGAGCTCGGGGGCCTTGCCGAGACGAGGGTCCTGGCGGGCTTCGTCTGAGAATGTTGCCTTTTGGGAGCGGCATTGAAGCCAGTCTGCGTTGCTTGGTGAGTTGAAGGGAGATGTTTGTGAGGAGGGAGGACATACGGTTGAGCGCGCCGATCCAGTTCTGGCCGCCGAGGGTTGGCTCCGCGCGCGGCGGGGGCCGGAGGATGACTGCTATGGCGTTGGCTTCTTCGTCTGAGATGGGAGCCGGCTGGCCGTGTTGCGACTCGAAGGCCTCCTTTTGGGCGATCCAGGATTTGAGGGCTGCCCAGTCCACGCGCGGCACCGGCGCCGTGGTTGGTGTTGAGTTTGACATTGTGGGATGTTGATGAGTGAGGGGCAGATTGGTGGCCAGGGAGGGGTTGGTGCTATGCCGACGGCATGGACGCTGGGCCTGTATTGTCGCTGAGAATGGTGTACCGGAGGCTGCGCGTAAATGAACGGGAGGTGCGCCGCGTCTTTATGTTTTGTTTGCCAGGAGAGGTGAGAGATTTGATGTGGTGGAAATGAGATGTGAATCGGGTGGGGGGCGGCACCGTGAGGTGTGTATGTGCTCTTGCTGTGTGGCAGAGGTTCGGGGATTCCTGTTGGAGGCCGGCAGGACCACATACACCTTGCGACTGCTTATTGCATCCGCCTGCGGTCGCTGGATATCTAAAAGACAAGAGTAATCATTGCAAAGTCATTCGTCGTTACGGGAGAAGGTTTCGCGTTGTTCACGTCTACTCGTGTTATTTAGAGTTCATTGAAGTTGGGATGAAAGAGGATCGGCAATAGGTTGATGTTGGACGATTCTCAGCCGATTGGCTGCGTCTGTAGCGGGCAAGCATGGCCCTGCGACGAACAGATGCTGCAGATGATATATGCACTTCTTTGGCTGTATTTACCGCTATCCCGTACACTTTTAGGGGGTATACAAATTACGACCGTAAACGCTCAACACCATGACCATTTCCCTATTTTACTCGAAGAAGCCCGTGCCGTCATCTTCCTCCTCTTCTTGCTGCACAGGAGCCTGCCACTTCCTCGCCTTGCCGCCGTCCTTCCAGTTTACTGCGCGATCCTTGTGGTGGTGGTGATGGTTCTCTGCAGGGAAACTGGGCTTCGTCTTGTTGGCCGCCGAGAAGTTCTTCTTCGCAGGCTTCTTTGGCGCAGCTCCAGTATCTGTTGGCGACTTGCGGTCGCGTAATCTGTACAGCGCTGCCTCACCCTCAGGGAGCACCTTTTCGATTGTCGCCCACATCTTGGGGCGCTCGGCGTGCAGGGCGCGGAGGGCCTTGGGCTGCTTGAAGGACTTGTCGTCCGTTTTCTCTTCCTTCGCCTCGTCCTCTTTGGGGGCATCTTGATCCTTGTCCTTGTTCGGGTATAAACTCTCGTACCGCTCCATCAGGGGGAAGAATCGAGCGTATGCGACATCTACTTCGGCCACGTGGGCTTCGGCCTCGAGGCGCTTCTTCTCGTCTGCGTCGGTCGACTGGGTGATTTTCTTGCGGAGTTGCTTGAGGAGCCGTTCTGCCTTTTTCCGCTCTGATCACAACACGAGTCAAAACTTTGCCCAACAAACAGATGCGGAAAAGAGGCACCTACCGAAGAACCTGACCATGTGGTACTTTTGAATCATGTTGCTCCTCTTCTTCTTGAAGTCGCGCTCATCCACCTTCTCGGACAGCGCCTCCAGCTCCTGCTCCAGGTCATTCCGCACCGTGGCGGGCAGCTCCTTGCCGCTTTGCAGCAGTCTCCTAATAGTGCGTGCGCGCGTTCTGTTCCATGCCGGCGTGCCCTCCTTGGCCTTGTGCTTCTTCCTGGTGGCGCCGGGACCGGTTCTGGAGCGTTTCGAGTCGTGCTCTCCGTCGTTGTGGTCTGAGACTGGGGAACCGTCGCGAGGAGCGTCGTGCATTGCGACATCCGAGACTTCGGAGTGTGAGCGTTTCGTGCCCATGGTTGTTGTTGCGATAGGGTGGGTAGGCTGTTGCGTGACTTGGGCTGGGAAGGAAGAATGCGTCGTGATGGCTTCGGGGCATGTCTCTTTGGTTCAAAAATTTGGATCGTTATCGAGGACTGGACGTTGCCGACCCCACCCGGCGCTTCTTATCAGCACCGTTTGAGACTAGCGTGCCATTTGAGCCGCTCGGACCAATGACAGGTCCCAATCACAACTGCTCAATGAAGCTGTAGCCCAAGCTCAGTGAGTTCAGATATACACACTCACAGCGGCTTCAACTTTGCGACAGAGGGAATTGAACATCGTATCTTCGACCATATAGCTTGCAGCGTTTACAAAATTTCTCCACGATCATAAGAACTCGTCAGCGACGACACTCATCGGTATCTCTCACGACATCTCATCCCACCCCATTAGCCTGCCAACTGCCTTGTGGGTCGTGGGAATACGCAGTACACATCGGTGGCTGGATCGGGGCGAAGACAGACGCAAAACACCGTGACAGGCGCGCCGTGAGGTTCAGGCTCGCGTGGTCGCCATGGACCGCCCGGAGCCTGGGCTCATCAAATGGTCGCAAATCCCCGGCTACGACAGCTTCATCCACATCAATCTACAGCACCGCGTCGTCCAGCTGTACGAACCCAACGGCCTTGCACAGCGGAGCAAGTTCGACTATGAACGGCTATCAAAGCACGATGACTTCCCAACGTTAACCACATATGACTGGTCTCCCACGGTTCCGGGCCTGCTGGCCGTGGGAACTCAGACGGGTGTCGTCAACCTGCTGAGGATGGACGATAACTCCAACGCCTACATCGAGCTGGGCCTTAAGATGACAAGAACATGCCAGGCGGTTGCGTTTAATACCGAGGGTCTGCTTGCGGTCGGTTTGGATCGTGTGCGTATGGATCAGTGCCTGCACATATGGGACGTCAACCGCCTGTCGTCGATGGACAAGTCTGCCAAGGGATTCTCCAAGGATATGCACTCTTTTACGGATCCTGCGTACAGGTTGGAGCCTAGTGTCTCTGTGTCAAGTGTCAAGTTCTTTGAGGACAACCCAAAGACGTTGGTTGTTGGTATAAAGGCTCAAGGACTGCGTATCCACGATCTGCGAGGTGAGTTATTGGATCTCATTTGCCATAGGTCATTGCTAACATCGTCCATAGAACCGAACATTGGTGTCGTCACGTTTCAGACTAAATGCAACAACAATTTGGCGATCGACTATGCTGATCAAAACTATTTTGCTTCATCAGCGCTGGATCAGCCGGGCATCATGATCTGGGACCGTCGGGCAACATCCCGCCCGGTTGCTTCTCACTCGTATCTTGGCGCAGTGGATGAGGACGAGCTTCCATGGGGTGGTGCACTCAGGCTTGACAGGGTCGTCGACTCTGACGATGACCCGTCACTGAGCGAAAGCAAGCACTCGATCGTCCGCTCTTTGCGCTACTGTAGAGACCACCGCGGTCTTTTGGCTGTATTGTCGCGCACTGGGCAGTTGAAGGTCTTGAAGACAAACAAGGAGCTAACACCTCCCGATATGTCTCTCGAGGGAAGCCCGGAGCTTTTGGAGGTTTACAAGTCTTACGACATGGATGTCCAGTATGGTGATAGCGGGAAGAAGAACGACCGGATCGTCTCGTTCGATTGGGTCACTTTGGACTCAGCTGTACTACAACCTCGATTGGTTGTCTTGCGCGCTAACGGAACGTTTGAGATTCTTGAGCAACCATCATATACGTCCGACTACTTGTATAAGCTAACGCCATGGCAGCCGCCTCATCGCGGCCTTGAAGGTACGTTCCCTAATCACACGGAAAACATCTTGCTGATGTGGTACAGAGAGCGGCCCGTATCATAACATCATGGAGTTTGAGCCATCACAATCCTCCGACATGCTAGGTCCGTTATTCGTCGAAGAGGCCCTCTCAGATATAGCTATTTTTGGACCAGACAAAGTCGATGTCCAGACTATTGTCGACAAGACGCTACAGGCCAGATTTTCTGCGGCAGACCTCAACAGTAGATTGATAGGAAACAACGAACGGTCTCCGTCTGCTCTTGACAAGTCCAGGACTGTGGCGGAAAGGATGCGCGCGCTGCGCTCTGATTTGAAAGAGAGGGCAAAAGAGTTGGAAACGAACGGTGCGGAGTGCTCGAATCTGGAAGAGTCGATAAGCTCCCTGGCTCAGCTGTCTCTCCATTACGACGGGCCTGTGTCTTGCCGCCACATGCATGAGTCGCTACTTTCTCTGACCCTCAAAGCCCAAAACCTATCTACCGAGTCGCAGTGTCTCCTAGACCATGTCATGCTTTTACGCGCAAAGGAGAAGTACTTATTTGACTGCAATGTCAACCGGGCAGTGGTTGCCGATGATCCCTGGCTGCGATACATGTGGGATTGGATTGCAGGTAGGTTGTTGCGTCCCCCTGATGCTTCAAAGCTAACGATGACCAGACGCGGAGGACGCTGCCCAGGACGGGGGCATGAAGCTATCACCTTTGGACTTGAGTTACATGGGTGTCTGTACAATTTGGTGTAATGATCTAGGTGGGTTATCTACAGTCGTGGGTGAAGACGCTGTCACTGACGACGAGCAGGCCAGAAGCCATCATCGAGATTACCTGAGGCATCGCCGATGCCCGAGACAACGCTTTGGGAGAAGACAATTGGAAGCATCTGCAAGAGACGTAAACTGCCAAAATACGAGGGTACTCAGACCAAGAAGCCATTTCACAGGCAGTTGTGCTTGGATATTTGCGGATGGGGAGACAATGCAGCACACGAGGCGAGGGGGGCTACACACGACCCCGGCGAGGACTATCCAACAACGGCTCACACCATGGCGGCGGCTCGAGCTCTCTTCAAAGGGGAGACCCAGGAGGCGATTCGAATATTGAAGACGGCGAGCGTGACGCACCCAGAGCTTCTCTTCGTGTCGCTCGCGCTGCAGCTCATCGGCAGGAGTAACAACAAGCTCAGCAAGGAACAGCTGGACTTTGACGAAGCCGTTGCGTCAAAGACGGATCCGTACCTTAGGGCAATCTCGTCGCTGATTGCTACAGGGGACTGGTTTGCCATTGCGAATCAGAAGTCGCTGCCTCTGTCGGACCGCGCATACGTGGCCGTCAGGAACTTTGACGACGAACAACTCACCAAATGGCTGCATGAACAAGTTTCGATGGCAGTGGATACCGGAGACGTCGAAGGGATCGTCCTCACGGGTATCACGGACAGGCTTGTGGATATCTTCGCCAAGTACGTCCAGAAGTTCAACGACTTCCAGACGGCCACGCTGGTCATGTCAATATGCGCGCCGCGATACATTGACGACTACCGGTGCCTGGCGTGGCGCAATGCATACAGAGCATATCTCCAGCGTCACAAGGCATTCCTGCAACGAACCAAATTCGAGGTTGAAAGCACAAAGAAGAGCAAACGTGGGGGACGTCCGACCATCAAGCCGCCGTCACGGCAGATTGCGCTTCGGTGCGTCTACTGTGACGCGGAGACGACTCTCGCAGGGCAAGGGGGGCCTGGCGCGGGACCACCTCCCGGAGCACCCGACTCGCGGAACCCGCTCATGGCGACGAGCATCAATGCGGGAATCAGCTGTCCCAACTGCGGGCGTCACCTCCCGCGATGCGTCGTGTGCCTGGAGGTGGTTGGCGTTCCGAGATCTGACCGGCCGGAGCTCAACGGCGAGCCGGAGAGTTGGATGGCGGCCAACTTCCCGACGTTCTGCCTCAAGTGCGAGCATGTGCTTCACCTGGACCACGCCAGACAGTGGTTCACGAGACACGTCGAGTGCCCTGTGCCCGAGTGTCGCTGCCGATGCAACTTTCGAGCCAACCCGGAGCTTTCGTATCATTAATGACGGCGGGAGGAGGAGTCCAGAACGAGGCACGTTTGCGTGGGGAAGGCTGGAGACGCGCATGAGCAAGCTGCGTCGAATGATGACGGAAGTGAGGGGCTCGTCGGGTTCGGTTCGTGTTTGGCAGCTGTTTGACGTGGACCACCGTTGAAGGCGAGGCGACGGTGGGCGGTTGGGCTTATCTGCCCATGTTCTGGCCAATGTTCTGGATGAGCCCGTCTTGATTTTACCGTGTTATGATGGAAATACTTATGACATGATTATGTATATGCTGCTGCAGAGTCACAGTTCCCCGGCGCGGAGAGGGTGTCGCGGAGATTTGCAACCCCTGTTCTTGGGTGTGCTTCACACGTTTGTACCTGCCAAGTACCTTTTTCTTCTTTATTTATACTCATGTGCAGAGGCTAGAAGCCTGAAGCCTGAAGGTGGCCGTCAAGCAGGAGCAAGCAAGCAAGCAAGCCCAAACATCGGGAAGCAAGCAGGGCAGGCTGAAGAGTGATGTGACAGGCGACAGACAACCTAAGGTACCCGACCTAGGTAGGCAAGGTACCTAGGCAAGGCAAGGCGAGGCGTAGGTCAGGGACGGAGTGGGAGGCAGGTTGGCAGGTAAGGTACGGAAGGGTGGGCTATCACATTCTGGTGATCGGTCACTCGCACTAGGGATGTATTCCAGGTTGCGGGGATCTTGACCGGTGGTGCAATGGGACGCTGGGCCATCCGTTTAGAGGTTTCCGGTGAATGCGCTGGTTGCCAGCTTGCCAACCCGAGATGCGGCTTGCATGTTGACTGTGGCCAGTCCGGTTGGGTTTCGGGCAGTCATGTGTATGACAGGCGGCCCTCCCACGAGGCGCTGAAGGAAGGGGACCCACTTGGCGCAACTCGGTGCGCAGGGTGGTTCTTCCCCGGGGGAGCGATGGGCACCAGGGCAGGTATCGGCCTTGTCACTCACTGTGCTGAGGGTGCCCTGTGCCCTGTCTCCTGTGCAGACTGAGATGGACGGTGCAGAACGTCAACGGCATGGAGCGCGGGCTGCTGTCAGCCGAGGTTGTTGGCGACTATTCGTCGTGCAACGGCCTACCTAGGCAAAAGCCCAGTGGCTTCCCTTCCCTTCCCGGTCCAGTCCCGGCCATCTTCATTCGGGGAACTGGTCCGGGCTCCTCCCACCTTCTTCTGACTTCAATTCTTCAAGCAGCCGTCACAGGGATCCTTCCCGCAAATTTACCTGCGGTGATTCACGTCTCTTCACGCCTGCCTGCCTTGCCTTGCCTCGTCTACCGTTGGACGGGCACCTACGGATACCCAGTCATCCAGTCCAGTCACCTCGATACCCTGCGCTTTCCAGTTTCATCTGGCAACCAACACCGCACACGCGCACGACAATCACGAGAAAAGGGACCCCATTCCTACCTTACCCTTCGATTTACCTTACTGCATCCGTCCTGCCTGCCGGAATTAACACACCTCATCTTACCTCACCTCACCTCGCTCAGTGCAGTCTGCGACGCGGCCGCCCATCATGTCACTCGAGGTAATTTACATCACTCGCCATGGAGTAAGTCTCGCTTCCCTTTTCCAGCCAGCCTGCTACCTACCTATCATCTCTTTTCTGTCGTATCCGGTTCGATTTCCGTCTCCGGTCCCGTCCCTGTCCCCATCCCCTCTTCATTCACCTGCGACTCCGCCCTGGCCCTCACAAGTCCCAATGAGGGACGAGAATGCCAATGTGGTTGCGGATGTTGTGCAAGGTCAAGTTCCCTCCTTGGGGACAACAGATTCTTCAGCCCCCCCTCGCTAGGAGCTTTGAACCCACGACGCCCGAAGCCCCCTAGCCCCATCCGGTTCTCGAACTCGACGATCTTGTCCCGAGGTGGTGCGGGTGTGCGTGTGTGCGTGTGCAGACGTTGGAAGTTGGCCTTGTTGGTTTTGACCGGAATCATCTCTGACAATAAGCCTTGGCCTTCATCAGTTCCGATCCAATTGGCTCGTCGACCCTTCAACGGGCAATTACACGGCCTCCATCCCATCGCCCACAGGAATCCCCTCGGATCCGGCCCTGACGGCACACGGCGTCGACCAGGCCAAGGAACTCGGCGCCCACCTCCTGACCGTCGAGCCTCCAATCGATGCCGTCTACTCAAGCCCCTACTACCGCTGTCTGCAGACCATCACGCCCTTTGTCTCCCTCAAGGAGGACGAAATCAACCAAGGCGCCCAAAAAGACGTTGGCGCTAAGAGCGATACCACCGTTATTCGCCCCGAGCATGGTCTCTGCGAATGGTATGGAGCCGCCCCGTTTGACCACCCAACGCCGGCCTCGCCGGATGTGTTGAAGCCCAGGTTCCGTCACCTCGATGCAGCGTATCAGAGCCGCGTGTTTCCCGCCCGCAAAGGCGAGACCATCGCTGAATTGCACGACCGCGTCGCCGCCGCCGTTCAAGCCATCATTGAGCAGTGCGATGCCGAGGGCAAGCGCGCCGTCGTCCTGTGTTCACACGCAGCCTCAATCATTGCGCTTGGTCGGGTGCTTACCGGAAATATGCCCGAGAACATTGATGCGGAAGACTTCCGAGCCTTCACCTGTGGGTTGAGCATGTACCGGAGAAAATCACCGTCTTCTTCGGAACGAGCGTCAGAAACCGATGGTAGGATTCGAATCCCTACGTCATCATCAGGCAATGGGTCTTTTCAACTGACAACCAACAGGTCCTGGTCCTGGTTCTGATGCTGGTGCCCCAGGAGAAACCACTTCTTGGAAAAATGGTCGGGGAGTTGGAGGAGGGTGGGTATGCGAACTCAACAGCGATTGCAGCTTCTTGAGCGGAGGCGAAGAGAGGGGATGGTAAGATGGATTTTCCCGCCTCCTGTCGTGTTTCTGCCAATGAGGGACCTTGGGCTCATCCTAACCCATGTTGCCGTCCAGTGCCCACCGCTGACTGGGTCCTTCGGAGTCAGAAGGCCCATCCCTTTCTTTTTGGCCCCGGGCCCCTCGCCTAGGGGACTATGCTAAGTCTGTGCTCTGTCAAACGCTGACGACTTGTCGATCTACAGGAGATTCTCGGGCGACGAGTCCTTTTCCGCGGCCGAGAAGTCATCGGAGGTGGACGCTGGCGTCGCGCTCGGCGTGGTGGTGGAAGGAAAAGTGAGACCCGACAAGGCCTCTCCCCACAGAGGAGCTGCAGGTCATCATCGCCTCTAGGAACAGGTTTATTGACGGTGCGCTTCGTCATTTGCATTTTCTTTTTCCAGAGGCGAGGAATTGGTCTCCTCACGGGTCGCAAAAAGGGTCGAGGCTGCGACAGGTCCTGGTTTCTGCGACCTGACCAGAGACCGATCCGCACCACCCGCCTTGCGGCCGATACACGATGGCAGCTAATGCCGGATAGACTTGCCTAGCTGCTGCGGGATGCATCATCTGCATGTCTTTGGCACGGACTGGGTAGCATCAAATCTGCGAGCCAGTCAGCGCAGCGGCTAGCCCCGAATCCATGACAAAATGACCCCTGTCACTTTCATCTCACAGCTGCCACACCATTTCAACGCTCCCAAAGTCCAACTTCAACGCTCTTTTGCCGCTTCGCCTTTGAATGCTGCCTATCGTACGAACTGCTCGCGAAAACCCTCGCTTCACGGCGAGCCTTTACTGACCATCATGCTCGGCCAAGATTGGCGGCTTCAGCTGAAGAAAACTTCTCGTATCAGAAAACAGCCATTGGCGCCCAATGTCTATCCTGTGTCATGAGCACATGCAAGCCGACTGACGTGCTTGTACCCGGCGTCTCGCCGCTCCCACTGACTGCGTTGTCTGCCTAGGTGGCTCGATCCCTTGATACCTTGGGCCACTGAGAAGGTCTTCGCGGTGCTCACTGGCGAATCCTCGATCGGCTGATTCCTTATCATCACGCAGCTCAACAGCAGACATCCGCTCTTACCCGCCTGTTCTCAGCCTCGCGATTTCCTGGGCCCCTCCTGGAGCCCCAGGGGATCCGCACACAGGATAGAGCCCGCAACAGCAGAATGAGAGGCAGATCTGGTGTGACGCTGCGCTGAAGAAGGCCCGCTTGGCACGACCGTGCCGCCGTCATACGTCTCCACCCAACAAATCCCGTCCACTGTGGCACGACCAGTTGAAAATGCCCTCATCAGGGGCCGGCACAACGACATCGACTAACAAGATTATTGTACCTGGCTCAGATTCAACTACAGCTCGATATGTGATATTCCGTCCGCTTGGAAGCTTGAGCGGCGGCAGCATGGGGTCCGATCGCTCCCGGATGCGTCTTCCGACTAGCCTGCTAGGTGTCTTTGCCGAGACCCCAGGCATCATCCTCGGGTGTGTCTCGTCTATCTCTCCCTAGCGGTGAAGGTTGACACTATTTGACTCAGCTGCTCAACGACGAGCGTTCCTGTTGAGATGGCGAGTACACGGGGCGTGTCGCCAGTGGCCACTTCAGCTTCATAACACGCAACACCATCTTCCTGCCAAGATGCAGTTATTGGGGAACTTGGGAGCTCATGATCATCTCAGTTATGTCAAAAGAGCGGTGGCCGTAGGCAGCACGACGCAAGAGGTAGGAGGAGGGCTGGATTCGCGCTCACCGATCTTCTCACGAGATACTGTTGCCATGGACCAGGCCTCGAAGCGTCTGTCCTGACATGTGTACAACCGGGGATGGTAAACTTGCTTGAAACGCATGTGCCTTTCGCAGGGAAAGGAAAGTACATCCTTAGGTCTACTGCAGAGTAGGCGATGATGGAGGGGCGTGTCTGGCCTCTGCCAACCTCACTCCAGCCTCAAAGTACAAGCCGATGGCGGAAGCAGAGTACATGGCTCGCTATAGACGATTTCTTAATCGGGCGTCATGCTTCTGTAGATCATATCGACAAGCCGGCCGGGAGCTTGTCTGTTTCGGATTTTGACGACGGGTATTGGCTTGAAGAGAGTTGCAGACAGGTTCCAAAAGGAAACGCAGAAAAAGAACAACGGGTAGCCACACAAACGCAGGGCGAAGCCTTTTGGGTGGCATTATTGACAACAACGCAGCCGCTGCTCTAGCACGACCATCTGCAGATGTCAACATTCGGCAACCCAAGTTGAGGCGGTCACGAAGGAGACCGAAAGCGGCCTTCAACGGCTACCATTCAGACGTGGCCTAAGAACATAGTCAGGCACAATTGCGCGACCTCGTGGCTTGCGTTCCGTTGTCAACGTCGCTGCCGGTTCCAGAAATTGATATGCATCATGGCATTCGACACGCGGGGTCGCACAAAGTTTCCCAAACAATCAATAAGCAACCCGGGTTTCAGGGCTGATTGGCAACGGGCGACACAAAGAACTGCTGCAAAATGCAAGTGTTGCGTCGAGCGATTCGCTGCGAAGTCAAGGCTGTGAGGTTTAGTAAAAAGCACGCCGCTCGAGTTTGCAGAATCAACGCACCAGAAGCTATTCAAGGTGGTCCAACCAGGACCGAGCGATGACCAGGGTTCGACACGGTAACTCGGACTCTAAAGCGATTTTATCACCGCTCCGTCGTCAGAGCGGTAAAGGAAAGGAGACGGGCGAAGAAGTAGAAAAAGAAAAGAAGACATCATGGCGAACGCTCCTGCACCTCGCACTCGCCCAGCCATCGTCGCGTGGCTTTGACTAAAGGGAGGATGATCCCTGAATTTGACAGCGCGCTTGGGATGAATCTAGTGAAGAGTCCAGACGAGACAAAGGGTACCTTCTGGGAGTGGAATAAGAAATCTGGGGTCCGTTGGCCAGACGGTGAGCCGGCCGGCAACAGGTTCGCAGACGCAGGCGCACAGGACGGGCGAATGTGGACAGGTTTGGATGCACTGCACTGTACCACAAGAAGACCGTTACATGCTATCCGTATGTATGCTTCTTGTGTGGTGTGGGGAGTCCGGGTCGGGACCCCCAGCAAGACGTGTTCCGCCATCCGCCGCCCATCTGGCCATCGAAATCTGTGGCGGCGACGCTTTCTTATTCCAGCGTCTCGAATCATGATGAAGATCCAGATGCGCTCATGGCGACCTTGCGCAAATTACGCTACAACGAAGCCAGCCAAGGGACACCCCTCCCCCCCTGGTCATGGTTGACCTAAGCGTACCCAACCTTGCCAACGCTGCCAAAACTGGGTGTTGAAGAGGTGGTAGGAACCTGGGAACTTCAGCAGCAGCTTGCCGTGTGCGCCTTGCCCACCCTCGTCGGGCGGTCCCCGCAAGAATCGAACGGACGAGCTCGAGGCCAGACAGGACGGCGGCCCCACAAACCGTGTTCCCAGACCCTTGACGGGCGGCGGTAAGGCGGCTGCAGTCGACGACTACCGCGTGGTGCTTTCAATCGGCCGCCATTCATCGATTCCTCCGTCAGCGGGACCGATGTGGTAGTGTGATTATCGCTCTCAAATCAGAAATGCATCTCAGACAGAAACCTGAGTTATTACGAAGGGGGATTCGCCTGCGAGATTGCAGCTTTGCAGGCTTGGTCGTCGTCGTGAGTGACTTCGGCTACTGGGTGTGTGGAGAGAGGTCCGAGAAAGGAGGAGAGAGGAAAGCGAGAGGCAGGTGGCCGAATAGAAAGGGCGTTCCATTCCGCAGCGCGATGCAGAATCACACCGACTCTCGAACACCGGTAGCAGGCCACGCTGCAAACACATGGGAGTGAGTGAGTGTGTGTGTGTGGGATTCAGACGGATGTCATCGTATTGTACGGGATGGATGGACGACATGGTAATGTATGGGCCAAATGAAACGGCAACGACAATAACAACAATGGGCGGCCCCAAGGCAAGCAAACTCGACAACCGCATTTTGTCATTTTGAGCAGAGCATGCTGGAGGCAGAGCCAGGGCCATGTCTGCTATTATTGCACTCGCTTCCAGAAATCCGGGACGACAATACTCCAACCGATTATGACCCTCATCTTCGAGTCCCAGGTCAGGCTTGGGGGGACCCAACAAGAGCCAATGACAAGATCGTGTTGGTCCAACTGCTGATGAGGCTGGAGGTCGCACAAGGCAAAGCAAAGCACAGCGCGCCGCACTATGGACAGAAGATATGCTTGCAGCCTGTGTCTGCGGTTCTGTCTTTCTGCTCTCCAACGCACTGTCACTGTCACTGTCACTTTTACAGTTGCTCTGTTTCTCATCACACATTTCACACACTGGACGCTTGCTCGACCACTTCTTTCGGCTGGCGCTATCCCCACCAACCAATGGATACAACATGCTCCAAAGTGCATATTCTCGCTATCCACACCCCCTTTCACACCCGCGGCCCCGAATCGCCATGGAACAAAACCCAATGCAAAAAAAATGAAAAAAACACACCCATCATCCGTTATTCGTCTCTGCTACGTCCGAAAGACAGTGGAACTCGCGGCTTGGCCCCCCGGGCCAGTACTACCCTTCAAACCCTCACGCACCCAGCTGTGACGCGCAGCTCGATCTAAGACTAGCGCCCCCGGAGAGGAGAATATCGACTGTGCAGCAGGTCCCGAATACCACCAACCTGCGGCCTGCGCGCAACGGCAGGACAGCGGACGCAACGCACCTTGTAGCAAGGTTGCCCACACACATATTGATGTAGGGAGGTACACACAGCAGTACACGCTACCCGTCCTTTTTCATTAATAGTACCGCCTACTGCAGCTCCCCCGAAAGGTCCTCCTCCCCCCCTCTCTATTGTATGGACATGCACCGTCATCTCGACTATTTGGTCCAAGGTCGACATGCGGATTAAGTCTCCCTTGCAAACCTGCAAAACCCCCACCTGCGGCCGCAAGTTCCTTCCCGCGGTCCATTTCCCTCTTCTTTGATCCTCACACCTCCCCGTCTCACAATGCATGCCCGCCATCTCACACCCAATCCTCGTCATTCCCAAACAGGTCAGAGCCTTGTTTGCTACCCGCCTTCCATAGTCCCCGTAGCCTCCAAAACCCTTGCTCGTCCACTCATAAGGAGGGTGGCGTTCCAAAGGTATACCGATAGACACTGAACACGCATTACACAATTGGAAGAGGGGGGCCAGAGACCCAATTGCTCAAAGATGACGAACCGGGATCGTGTCCCCAGAGCGAGGCAGGCTCGGAGAGGAGGAGGCGGCGGAGGAGGAGGAGGAGGCGCACACCACACCACACCTTTCGGCCGCCAGTCCAGAGAGAGACTCGACAGATTGGGCGACGTGCAGGATACA